ACAAGTTAAATTATGCAATATTAATGCACTGTATATCAACAAAAAAAGTTTATGTTGGTGCTAAGAAAATGGATTCCTATGCTATCTAAAAACTAGCATCACTCACTTCTGTGAAATAAGTGTATTTAATAAAGGCTTATTCGCGATACTATACATTATACGTGCCAGTTGTATTGAATAATTTGGTATGTCAATTACAAAAAGAACACAATCTCTTGTAATCAATATGAAGATTCAAAAGATCATTTTAAAATTCTTGCTTTGTTTAAATCAAAACGTTTTCATTTGTCATGGATATAATTCTTGTAGAACAACGTGTCGAACATTGTTGAGCTTATTCTTGTTCAATCCGAACCATTTTTGATTCTTCCGACTTGCAAATATAATTTTGTCTTTCATGCTCCTTCGCCTCTTCCCTTTCTACTTTGCGAACATTGTTTTTATCTAATGAAGAAAAAATATCCGCAATCGAGACGACATGTTAATGCCGTTTATGAATAGAGCATTATTTAGCTGAAAGTAGATATTGATTCTCTCATATTCATGCATAATGACTCTGGCTATGACTCTAGTAAAAAAAAAAAAAAAGAACTATCAAAAATTCATCAAATACAAAATCATTAGACATTTCAACAGTTGACACTTGTTGAAACTTTTTGACGAAAATCTTTCATCAAGTCAACTATTCAAACGCTGAAGTATATCATTAAGGGAACATAAAAAATAGCTGTTCTTTTTTAATATTGTTCTAGTATAGCTGTAATTAAGTAAAATTTTTAGCATGGAATTCTATGAACAATCCGTTCAATCAATGAGACGATGTCAGTTATTTTCATAACTATCAATTGATTTTATTCAATAAAATTAAATCTACGAGTAAAAATCGATAGAAGTTTTAATAAATATTCATCTAATAAAATTATTCCTAAAATTAATTGAAATCATAATTTTCAATATAAAGAAATTTATATGAAAAGCGCCAATTTTTCTTACTCTATGATCGATCATATTATTTTTACGTTCTAATTTTCATTTTATTCTCGTTAATTTTTCCTTTCAAATACAAAAGTTCATAAACAATCAAATTGACTTTATAAACAATGATTGAAACACAAAAATCTTCAACCGCATTACAACAAGTAACATCAAATGATGTTTCAACAATATGTTCAAAATGTGGTGAAAAAATTTTAAATGTAATGACAGCTGATGAAAATAAAGTTTATCATCCGCATTGTTTTAATTGTTCGGATTGTGGTAAAACTTTAGCCGGTGGTTTTTTCTATAAATCGAAAAATACTAAAACCGATGAATCAACAATAACATCAAGAAATAGTCTTGCTGAACCAGTACGTTTTTGTGAAACATGTTATAAAAAAGTAGCACCAAAATGGTATGTCGAATAAAATATATAAATAAAATTGAAAGAAATTTATAAATTTAGTGCTCGATGTCATAATATAATTGAAGCATCATCAATTGTTTGGGAAGATAAAAAATTTCATGAATCATGTTTTACTTGTTGGGGAGTTGATAAAAATGGTGTTCAATGTCAAAAGGTTAGATTCAATTCAGTTATGTTTCGTTGACTAATTAAGATCAATTCCTACTTATTAAAGCTTAATCGAGAAATATGAGTCATAGAAATATTTTTGTTTAGTTTTTTAATAATAGTATTCGACAAGAAGAAATATGGGTGTTGATGTTGATCTTCTCTTAACTCACACCTACATCTATACACCAAGGTAAAGTAGTTAAGTGCCGAAAATTATAAATTCTAATAAATCTTTGGTAGAAAACTTTTTTTCTAACGTGAGAACCTCTTCGAGTGTCAAATTGCTTTCCGATCGAGCCAATATTCGTTTGATGAGCACTAGTGAGTATTCTCTTATGTATAAAAGCAAATTTTGTTCATATATTTACATCCCCAGAAAGGAAATAGTAGACAAGCTAAAACTTGTACAATCAACTAATCTCATGAAGAACTTTCTTCGTGCAAAATTAGATATAGAAACTCGAATGTTGATTTTTCATATGACCTGAAGCGGACTACAGCTTTTTGTTGAAAATCTCAGTAAAATCTTAATATCTTTAGAACGAAGGCCTGGAAAACTAAATCATTCTAGACTTTTCTTTTACTCACTAGTATTCATCAAATAAACATAATCTCGATTGAAATACGATGTGACATATAGAAAGATTCCCTCGTAAGTTTTGATTAATAGAATGTACTATGGTACGCATGCACATTGCACAAGTATGAGAGTTGGGCTGAAATCTGTGACTGAAAAGGATTTGAACTTTTGACATTCTCTGCTTTAAACGTTTCCACTTTCAACACCTTAGTCATCAAGCCTACACCAACACAAACACCCACATTGGTCCATATTCATACCCTTATTTGTTTGAATCATCATCTATAAAACACTAATAGTGATTCACTTCTACGATGTTCTATCACTTTCTAAAAGTATAAAAACTCATTGTGTGTGTGTGCTTAATTAATTGACTCTTAACTTGTTGACTAAACGATTAATTATTCAATTGTGATCTGTCAAAGGACGAAAAAGTTGTCGACGAAACAGAATCATACTATTATATTCATTTTTCTTTTTAAAATAATTATTAAATTATTATTCATCTATCTATAGCCAATGAAAGATGAGCCTGTTTATCCATTGAATGACAAATGGTATTGCAAAATTTGTTTTGATAAATTAGATACTGGTGTTAGTGCTGCTGCCAGAGATATTCTCAGTCAAAAATGTCGTAAATGTTATAAAGAATTTGCACCTGGTTCTCTAGTTAGTGAATGTAAGTTTTTCTAAGATTGATTTAGATTTATTTTAATATTATATTATTATTTAAGATAAAGGAGATTATTATCATCCAACATGTTTTATATGTTCTCAATGTAATGCATCAATTGCAAGTAAATCATTTTATCATCAATCAAAATCTGATGATCAACAATCCGAAGCAAAATTTCTATGTGAAAATTGTCATATTAAAAATGCACATGAATGTGCAGAATGTAAAAATAAAATAGTTAATGGTGAAGCAAGTATGTTATTCAATTATTTTATTTTTTATTATATAAATAATAAAAAATGAATTCTTTTTCTAGTCGGTTTTGAAGGAAAACAATATCATCGATCATGTTTTACATGTCAAAATTGTCACAATGAAATTGGTACAGCACATTTTTTTAAAACTAAAGATGGAAAATATATATGTCAACAATGTTCACTCCAACAACAACATGATACGCCGACAAAATAGATAATAAACAGAAAAATAGAATTTTTTTTTTTATTAAAAAACTTTCTATATACATAATGTTAATCAACAGATTGTTAAAGTATATTTGACTTGACTGATTTTTTTTTCGCTCTCTTATTTTAATAAAGATAAGAGATGAATTACTTGCCTCAACAATAAAGTAAGTAGAAATAAAATAAAGAGTATTGTTCTAATACAATACAACATCTACATAATAGATATCCCTTAGACTTTCGAAAGCATTCACTATATGGAAGTTAGTTCTTTCCTAAAAAGCAAAGTTTGTTTTTTTACAAGGCATTGACACGTTTTCTAGGTATCTAAAGGGTATTAATGAATACAATAATAATTATTGCTCATTGTTACTTCTCTTTTTCAATCATTTTACTTCTTGAAAAATTAACAGTTATTAAAATCTCTCTGTCGTAGACATAATTGGAACTTTTCGAAAGTATTTCATCATAGAACTACATGACGATGTGCATTATAGGGAGATTTCATTTCAGCAAAAATCACTTCATCGAATCGTCAAGTGTCCACTATGAGAGGTTTTCCTATAGTTTGATTGCAATTGGAAAACGAAAAAAATCTTGGAAAATACATATGACAAAATTATAATTTTTATTAAAAAAAGTCGATCAACATTTTGAGTATCAAACCAAAGTCAATTTCTGAGATTACTAAAAAATTTACAAGTTACCTTAACTAGACTTATACATAGTCTTTTTCTTTGTTCTCTATGACCCAATTGAGAGTTGAAATAAAAGAGTATTTCAACAATAAATAAGTCTTCTTGAATGTTTTATTATTTTCTTTTTAATTCATCCGATTCTTTTTTTTTCTTTGCTCAAGTATTTGCACAAAATTATGTTGTAATTCGATACTCTTTTTTTTTTTACATTGCATCTTTGATGAGAAAGGAATCATTATCTGTATTAGTCCAATATTTTATCGCTTCATCAGTCATCAATAATTAGCATTCGAGATTAATCTATATTATGTATCTGCTCATAGATAAAATTCAAGAACAGGAAAACAATTTATTAACTGGACAATATATCCAACAAAAGAATTCACAGATGTAGTAGATGCAAATGTCAGCTGTATATTGATTTAAATCTATTCAGTATCGTTCTAACAATAGAAAATAACAATTCATAAAGTGTTATGACATATGACGAAATTTTTCTTCATTATTGTTTGTTACATGAATACTGTCATGGTCAACACTTTCTTGAGAAAAGAAAACAGAGAAAAAGATAATGCTCATTATAGATCAATGTGTTAATTCACCGAGTATAATGTCATGGTCTTTTATTCTTAGGAAAAGATCAGAACATAAGCTATATTTCTATCTTATCACTATTATTGTTTCTTTAAGCACGATGACATTTCTTTAGGCAATCTGTTCTCTATCATTTAACTATCAATGACTGAAAACACAGAAAAAGCTCAGATCATTTATCGATATGTGCAACAAAAAAAAAATAATAAATATATTTTTTGTAAAAAAGAAAAAAAAGAGGCAAAAAAAAAACCTATACAAATGACAATGAAAAACTGAAGATAAATGTCAATAGATAATCGACGATAATAGTTTTTCCTAAGTTTAAAACAAAAGAAAAGTAGAACCGGTATTGCGACGCACCATCAGAAGACGGACGGGATGAACGTTCGTGCTTCGCTTTTTGTTCAATTTTGTTTTCTTTTTTCAGTTATTATCGTCGTATTAAATCAATAGAAATAAATAATATCAATAAAAGAAAATATTCCATTTGAATTTTCGTTGATGATGATGATGATGATGATGATACAATACTCAATGGAGTATTACGATTATTATTATTGCTATAATTTGGATATCCATCAATTATTATGGATTTTTGTTGTTGAATGATTAAATTATCAAATAAAGTTAATGTTACATTAAGATATCGATCACTTTGTTGTTTTGAATATGGTAAAAAATAATTTGTTATCGTCTAGATAAAACAAAAGATTCAATTACATCATTACAAGAATGTATATATATATATATATATGTATAATCTTACAGGCGAAAGATCAACAGAAATAAGTTCAATATGACTTGGCAGCTGTTCAATGCGCAATTGATAGATAATACCACTATCATCATGGACTAATGGATTATATACAAATTATCTTGTATTGATTATAGATTAAGTTTACTTACCTAATGAACGCATATCTTGCCAATAAAATTGAATACCAGATTCATTTCTTGTGATAATAAGATTAAATGATGATAAAGATGAACTACTTATATTGTCATCTGTTTGACATGATGGTCGAATAGTTCCATAAACTGGAATTAATTGACAAGAACTAACATTAAAATAAACTTGAAAAGATTTTTTGATTCGTAATTTTGATACAATTGGCTTTATATTTAATACATATGTACAATTAAAACGTAAATCATATAATTGAAAAAAACTTTCTATTGTAACAGCATCACGTCGATAACAACATGGTAATACATCAGATGAACATTGAGTTTCAATCCAATGTAAATCATATTGTTGAATTCGATAATCATTTATTTTATTCCATGATATATTTGTTTTAATTAAACCATTTATAAAATATGGTTCTGATATATAAAAATTTTTTATTGAAAATAATTCTTCTTCATAATTGAATTTTATTGATACTGGTACACTCATTTGTATTTCATCATCATCAGGAATAAGTAATGAACGAATCTATACGAAAGTAAAGTGAATACTTGACTTTTGTCAAAAGTGAGTACTTACTTTGAAAATATAAGATGTATGCATAGACAGAAATGGAATAGTCAATTCTAATGGATATAATGATGAAGAAGTATCGATTGTATTTACAAGTAGAGATGGATCATTTTGTGCTTCCCAAGAAATCTAAATAAGAAGAAAAAATACGATTATACAAAAAACCTATGAAAACCACATTTGATAGAACCTGATATCCATTTATTGGAAAATCTGGTTTTTGCCAACTAAGTGTTATATTAATTGTATTTGGATTTAATTGAAAATCTTTTATTAATAAATTTTTTGGTACTGCTATTGTTGATAATGATTTCTGTGATTCATTTTCTAGAAGAAAATAAAACAAATATTTTTTCATTAAATATTTTATTTTCTTAGATTTTTTTTATTTCTATTTACGTGAATTTAAACGAAAAGGTTTCGTTGTTATTGAAAAAGGTGAATATCCACGTCGTGTTACAGCAGCAACACGAAATGTATACCAACGATTATCTCGTTGAATATTTCTTATTATTGCTTTTGTATGTGAAACTTCTTCTTTAACAAAACCCCATTTTGAAATAATATCTTCTTGATGGATATCCATTTTTGGTAATGTCCATTGTGCTTCAATAACATAAAAAACAGGTTCAACATTTGTCACTCCATTTGAATTCCATTTAAGTTTTACGGTTCGTCGACTTTTTCTTTCAATAGCAGTGATATTTTTCGGTTGAGGAATTTTTTCTACGGAAAGAAAAAAACAAAAAACAAACGTATGTTTTTTTTTCTCACATTTATCATTTCCTCGCGTGCAATACAAGGCTAATTATGAACAGCTTTTTCTGCTGTCCAATATGTCAATCATTATTTTACGATGGCATCCGGGACACCTGCATGAATCGATCAACTTACCGAAACAATCATTCGTTGGTGAGCATGATGATGATTGGCAATCGTCTAAAAAATATAAAATGATTACTTTTGATGTACAAATAGAATAATCTTATTCGATCTGTCTCTTTTTCTCTTTCTCCTGAGACGTCAAATAACAACAACAACAAGAGAGAAAAGAACGAACTAGACAAGTCTTCAGGCTAAATTAAACATACTTCGTCTCATCGAATGTCATTTACTTTTCTTTTCTTTTTTTTTGAAACAACTCAAATTTCTTTCTCACCTGTCAAACAATTGGATTGTTGTTGATAAAGATTTTGAACAAAAATACAACTCCGTTGACATTCAACGTTTCGTAACTAGAATAGACAAACAAAACAAAAAAGAATAATGATAAAAGACAAAGAAAAAAAAACAAAGTCTGATCATTGATCTTCATTGACCCTATTTTTCTGGTCTATTTATTTGTTTCACATGCCTTTTCCTTCATTTTCCATATCTGCTTTCTGCTTTTTCTTTCCATTATAAATATACACACAGTTGTCGACATCATTCTCTCATCACGATGAACATATCATCTTTCTTAGTCTTGTTTTTTACCATCGATAATGAGCTCGACAGATACGAGGTCATGCTTTAGATCATAGATAGAAAATATTATATGCATAGAAATACTTACTGTAGAACAGATTGCTTGACAACTTTGTTCATTGGACAACAGAAGTGGCGGATCCAAGTCACATGGGAGTAGACACTAGAATGTACATAAAGAGACAAGTACAAACAGATTGACTCGTTAGCATACTGATGAGAAAAGAAAAAAAAGCGAATTATCCGATTTCCGACTAGTCTATAGTGGTTTGTCGGTCAGTGAGATTCTTCATAATTGAATTTGTTATACATTAGACTCTCCATTTCTCAATTAGATGTGCATTTAGATTGGCTATCATATGAGACAATCATACATTTTTACCTCCTTCTATTCATTCGGTCAATTTACTTACCGAGCTACATGTGATAAGGCGTGGACAACGTTTCCAAATGGATCGCCACGGTAAAGTTAGTGCATTTGTCGTCTAAAATATAATCATAATTATTGAAGACATTCAATCGACAGTTGATTTTATTTTTTTTTTGTTTTCTTATCTCGTATTGTCAAATCATTATTCTCATAATTATAATGTATGTCAATGTATACGTGAAAAGAAATGAAATTAAAGAGACAGATCGTACAATTGTTAAAAGATCATTATTATATTTGACAAAAAACTAACTTGTTCATTTCATTAAGTTTAAGTCAACATCATTAGAATGAATGAAATGCAAAAGAGAAAACGATTTTTTTTTTTGTTGTTATCATTCTCAATTTTCGATTTATTCTTATATATATTTATTTAGTGTCTTGTCATCACATTGAATGAGTGATAGACGAGACACCTCATCTATAAAGATAACAAAATTTTGCCTAAATGAGAATCGGAAGCACCTGTGTGTATGCATGAATAACACCTTCATTTTTTTGTACATTTCTTGTTATAACTGAAACAAATCAAGTTTGATATTCTTCGAACTAATTTTGTTTGTCAAACGACTTAATCGACAAAATAAAGTGAATGTACACACCTTGAGGCTTAATTGTACATTTCTCGATAGAAGATGAAAAGAAAGGTGCTTAATGCTTTTATTTTTTTCGACCAAAAAAAAAAAATGTCTTCATTAGCAAAGAAATAAGAGAAAATACTATTTTTTTTTCTAGATCAAAGTCGATCAATTTTCGTTTCATTATATCGATTCAATTCGTCTTTTTTTTTGTCCTTGAAAATTATTTCATAGGAAAAGTTTAACCAAACAAACATAATCAACATAGTGTGTATGTTTTCTTAACCTCGTAGGAAAAGTCTATCGACATACATCTTTTACTCAGCATGTAACTCTCACAGGTGAGAGACACTCACTAGGTGGGTAGAAAACTAATCTTAAGTGTCAATTATAGATAAAGAAATTTTCTCTCGTGCTTTTTTGATCTCACCAGTAGTCGTTTCGTTTTTCCATTATTGAATATAGATGGTAGTGATCGTTGTTGATGGTGATGATTTCGATATTCATATAAGCAACGAGCTTTACATTGTGCTGATATTAAAGAATTATATCTAATATTGGATATATCTGTTGTTGCTGTAGTTGAACAAATAAATTGAAGAGAAAAATTGATAATAATAAAGACAATCATGATGTATATGATGGTTAATCTAGCGAAATATATTTGTGTATATACGTATATGTACACTTCGATAAGATCAAACGTTAAAATGAAAAAGAAAATTAGCTACTGCACAATACATATGCGTATGTATGACTCGCGATTTTTCCAATATGTGAGACGATAGTAATGGCGATAGTGGTGAGTGTGTTCGCCCACCCACTCTATAATTTCTCTCTGTTCTCTCTCTCTCGTTCTCGTTCTCTTTCTCTATCGTTCTCTCTTGCGTTCATCGTTGTGCGGTCTATTTATTTTTTGAACCCTACTCTAGAACAAGAGAATGGTACATTTAGACAATATGGAGAAAAAAAAAAGAAAAAGGAGAACAAAAAAAAATTATTCCATCAATGCCGATCATTATATATATATATACGATTGTCCTATGTCCGGCAAAGTGATTGTACTAGTTAATGTCCAATATTGAGATCTCATATTGATCGGGAATCAAATTCTCATAAAAAGAATCAAAAGAAAGAATTTAATCTAATTGGAAAAAAAAACAACAACGGCCTTTTGAATAACTATCAGGAATACCTATTGTCAAAAATGTCGACTCTTACACACGTCTATTTCCATGTGTTCTCAATCTTCTATCTATAAAAAAAACCGCTCTGTTCTATTGATTGAACAGGAAGTGCGGACCGCGCACACTCTTCAGGTAATTGTATATGTATGATGGAATGCATTGCCGTTTCAAGTGGTTGTTGCCGATCGCCATATGGACAGATTTTTTTTTTATGACAATGACAACGGACATGATGGTGAAGGCTAGTTTAAAATTCAAGTAGTCGGAAATATGTATATATGTATGTGTGTATAAATCAAGGCAAAAAAACAATAGTTTCCCTCTCTCTCTTTTTTTTCTTTCACTACCAAAATTGCTCATTGACGTAGACGAATAATCAATCTAATTTTTTTCTTATTATTTCTTTTTTGTTAAAACAAGTGTGACATAATCCTTTTGTCGCCTGTTTTAAAGTGGTCTTTTTATATTTGTGAACACCTTTGAAGAAAAGACAATCTCGTTTCCTTTTTATATATTATCATTTATGCATAGTAATGATAGTGAGTATGATGACAGATCTAAAAAATCGAATTGACGATGTGAGATGTATGAGAGAGGAAAAAATGTCACGCAAATTAGTTCCTCCTTTTCTATATTGTCCTCTCATATGAAGTGTGTTGCTTGTATATATATATATATATGATCGATTCATAACGGAAAGGAAATGGCGTAATAAGACGCCGCTTTTCTTTTTCTTTTAGTTTGACAGAGAAAATAGAGAGAGAACCATCAAATTAATTTATTCCAACAATCACGAAGTGGTCTCTTTGCTGTCGTTGTCAATTTATTTTTTCTCTTATTTTTTTGCGTGTACACACACACACACACATATATATATATTTCTTTGACTGTTACGTCAGTCATCATATTACAATCTGAGAATTACCAAGAAAATTTTTTTTATTTTCTCTTAACTCATCAGAACTTTATGCTTCATATTACTCTTATCTATCACCCGGAAATTGAGATTCTTAATATGTGTAACTTCGATTACAAGAGCATCTAATAAAGAGCTATTGAAATGTCTTTGATAATATGTTACTTTGTTGAATAATATTGATCATACTCTTCTCTGATATGAAATCAAAGAATAAGTATTTGAATAGAGAGTGCCCGATCATAAAGATATTCTTTTTCTTTCCTTGAAAGTCTTTTCTTTCATATACGTATACGATTAACAATAGAATAATTGTTCAATAAGACCATTCAATTGGTTCTCTTCTTGTATTCAATGTCAAAATGGATTTTATAAATATACTAAACGCAATTTGATCATCCTCAATTTCAAAATCGAATATTCATTAATAAAAACGATATCAATTTTATTCTGTTTCTCTGTTTATTAATAAGTATTATTTTTTTACGTATGTATAAATATATCGAAGAGGAAATCACAAGCAGAGTCAGATTTTTGGATTGGGTGCTGATCTCCTCCCCCCTTCTGCGTGGCCAACTTGACTCTACCACTGGAAAGAATAGCAGGAGAAGAGTGAAGAGAAAACAGTGAGTTATCGTATCACAATAGGCATCACAATGCAAAAAGAAATAGGTAATAAAGAACAAGAAAAACAGACCATTAATATATATCTATAGATGTATACATATGTATAAATATGCTATTGTCGATAAGCGACACAAGCAAAACCCGAATCACATCTGGGTGTTAACATTTGACTTTCAATTGTCCATTCATCTTTATCACTATCATAAACTTCAACTGTATCAAGTAAAGATGTCCCATCATAACCACCGATAACAGCTATTCGACCACGAATAAATGCTGAACCATAATAACATCGTCGAACAGACATACTTGTCGCGTTTGTCCATTGATTTGTTTGACTATCATAACGTTCTACACTCGATAAACGAATTGTTCCATCAAATTCACTACAAGCAAATATAAAATGATTAACTGTTGCATAACCAGCGCCTAAGAAAAAGAAATAATTAAATAAAGAGATGTATATTGAATTATTTAGATATTAAAAAAAAAGGATGATATAATTCTACCTGATCGTGGAGTTAACATTGGTGCCATTTGTGACCATCGACCCAAATTAATATCTAAAACAAAAAAAAAAGAAAGCTTCGAATTAAATTGAATAAACTGAAAATGAAAGTTTTTACCATATTTTTCAACAGTTTGTAACAAACTAAGACCATCATATCCACCTGAAATAGTTAATAAGTTTAGAAAATAATCATCATTTGAAGACGTTTTTATGTTTTATTTGATAAAGAAAAATCACTTTAGAACAAATCGTACTATACATTTAGATATATTTCTATCAACAAAAAAAAAGCTGCAAATGAGAAGATAATCTATTAAGACAATCTATTTATCTATTCTTGTCAATTCTTCGCTTATCTATTAAATCATTGAGATATTCTGCTTTTCGTTAGACCAATATGATGCCTACAGATCATCAATTTTTGATGTTAAACAAACTATGTTTCTCGTACAAATTCTTGATCCTTATTCTTCCGAGTCTTTCACACTGCCATAATCAATATTAATGATGAAAAAGAAACATCTATCTCAATTAAAAATCATCCGATATTCATCAGTTCATTGCATAGATATACACTTACCAATACAATAATAATGAACAACAATAGAAAATAAGATCAGCTCTTTCTCTACTTACATGCATATCTTATAGAGTTGCCAGATAAAAAACTTGAAAATCAAAAGTTTTGTTGAAAAATCAGAAATTATTTAGAAACGATAATTCTTAATGAACCAGCAGCTATTATTTTAACATGCTCGTATCAAATACTCTTGTGGTTTTCTGTTCATTGACTTATAATTTATTTTCAAAGGTGTTCCACTGTGAAGGAAAAAATACACTCAGTGTAAATCTATTGTATTAAACGGAAAATTTTTGCACAAACAAAGTACAAAAAGAAACCACATATATACTACGTAGCTTAAGAGATTGTCACGAAGAAAAAAAAATTAAGATTATATAATTTAAATTTGATTATTATTGTTAATAATTTTCAGGTTTTTCAAATATGCTTTATCAAGAGTAGATGTGTGGGTAGAGGGAAGGCCTACAGTCACATCTACATTCTAACGAAGCTACTATCTAAAAAAAAGCTGAGAATTCCGAAAAAAATGAGAAGAAAGTACGAACATCAGAAAGTAATTAGAAAAATATTTAAATTTCAGGAAGTCTTCTAACTTTTCAGAAGATCTGGCAACTCTGATGTCTTCACCAATAATTATACGTACTTTTTTTCAGCGGAACATTCTGTTGATGCTAAAAACAAGAAGGTTCATCAAATCTACCAGATGGATAAATTTAAATCTAAATATTTGCATAAAGATTATCTTTCCAGAAAAAAAGACTACTTCCACCTGAATGATTGTTTTTGTTTGAATTTTATTCATTACGAATAAAACTGATATATCCTTATCAAACTAATGTTTACTATTTTTGTAAATTGAAGTTGTTATAGTGAAAATGATAGTTTTTATCATACCCATTTGAATTATTATAGAGCTATGTTGTATCATTATTATAAAAATTTTTATTTCTTATGGTAGAGTTCATGATTGTTGTTATTTAAGTCTGAATCATGATCGATGTCATCATTTTCAAACACAGGTAATATTTTTTGTTTTATTCATATTTCATTTCATAGTATAGTCGTAAACTATAAATAAATATATCGTATGTCCTGATGAAGGTTTGTTATATTTCCCTGCATATATAGCCTTGCACAACAGATGGGATTCGGGAAGGAGAAGGATGAGGTCTGATTAATACAAATTGTAAATACATCGATGAAACCAAAAATGATGTAACACATATGAGGAAATTGCACATATATTGTCTCATTATGTTTCAATGTGTGTATTGAGAATAGCTCTAGTTCTCGTGAATTGATTTATCTTTCAATGCCGGATTGATTGGCATACGGAAATAGAAAATGGAAAAAACGGTAAATGATTAAAAATTAACAGATTGATAATATGAGTTATGTTTCTCGTCGTGTCGTAAACTTATTTACATGTTCATTTGCTATAGATGTATGATGAAAAAATTCACAGTATATAAAATCAAATGTAGAGATTGATCTACCAAGTTTCGGTTCATCCGTATTATAATCATCGTCTACGACATCTATCCATCGAACAAAACTAACAGTGAATCTATATACTAGAAAATGTTAAGTTTTCGATTGTGTATTCTTCGTAAAAGCTAATTACTTTATAATTGAATTCTATAATCAACACTACTTTTTCACATTTGTTTTGTTTTTTGAGGAACATTATACTTCTGTCAACAAATTACTCTAAGGTATTTTTAAGTATCATGGTCTCTTGACGAAAGTTTGGTATCTCTTTTGAACTGGTGACAATATTATTGCCACGACTTCCTTCTCTCTTTAAATGATCGAAGATATAAATTTGTTGACTGTGTTCTTTTGTCGCTCCAAAAGTAATTATTTGAATAGTTTCTAACAAATCTGTTTTTGTAGTTGTACATTGAAATTATATTTATCTTTTATTTTTCTATTTTGAAATATTAATGCCCAAGTCCTAGAAGACAATGCCGTAAACGGCATAAATCAGTGAAAATCAGTTCTATGTAGTATGTTGCCCTAATTTGTTACCTCAGAAAACTTAGAAATACTGAAAAAAATGATTGTTGTTTAATAATGAATAAAACAGCTTCTAAAATGGGATGACAAAATACTGCGAACCTTAACGCAATAATACACCGTATTATAGCCGTTCCGACGATCGAAATGATCATCCCGGAAGAAAATGGAGATACTTGGAAGCAGGAATTCGGCCACTAAATCTGATTATAGAATTCCTGTTTCAGAGTTCCAATCGTTTTTGCAAGCTTTTTGTCGAAAACAGCATCTCTTTGACGGATTCTCGTTCGAAATTCACGGATCTGGAACCGAGATCATTGACTTATATGCTAATATATTTGCACTTGCATCACCTATTGGCGATTGCTTTGAGCAGCAGTTCAACAATGTTAATAGACAAATACAAGCATTGCAAAGAGGTTTTCAAGGACTATGATAAGATTTTAAAGCATTTAAACAACAACTTCAAATATTTCAGGAACAGATACACCAGCAACTAGAAGAACGTCAAAAATAAAACAAACTTAATTACAAATTTACTTAAAACTACTTCATTATTTAGGAGAACAATACGGCAAGTTTTACTAATTCTTTAAACAGTCGCCAAATTTGATTTCGACAATGACCATCACCATGAGTAAAATGATGTCGAGCAATAGAGGACGCTGATCATTACAATAGTGAACATCACCATGTTGAATTGCACGATAATTATCTTGACCATGAATTAACATCATCAGTATCACGATTTTCAATATCATTAGTATTATCACGACCATGAACCAGAAATGAAAAGAATCTGTTAATCAAAGCAGATATTCTCAATTGTTAAATGAAGTACTGAAGTATAATATATTGTTACTCTGCATATTTAGGCCGTTGTGATTAATTTTGTAACTACATTTCTTTTAATTATTTTATTTAATTTCGAAGTTCTTCAAATTATAACTGGACTTTTTGTTGAAAGAAGTTAACTTGTTGCTGAAGAACTTGAATATCTTGTTGAACATATTCTAATTCTGTATTAAGATTGTTGAGTTGTTGTTGGGACAAACAGCTGATACGTGATGGAAGTGAATCATTGTTAATAGCATTTGAATGCAGAGAACATATGCAATGTGGAACAACATCTATTTGAACGTTCACAATATTTCGTAGCTGATTAGGAAATAGATTGTATGATATGAAACGTTCAATGAATGTTAACCGAAAGAATGTGAGGATCCTGAAGCAAAAATCAACACAGTTCAAAGCCACCGTTTACAAGGGGATAAAGAGAAATGAAGTAAGACATCTATGTACTTCTAAATCTTGACCCATTCAAGGATCGTCAAATGCAAGAACAATGCACATAAATGACCTACTTCGGTCATATTCTCTTGCTGTATTTCCTTCTTCTCTTGTTTCTTGCACATCGATTTTGAACTGTGAATTAATAATATATACCAATCAAGAAGATGAACAAAGAAGAGAGCTCGACAATAACTACATTGACAATGACAGTAATCCATTCTCCAATATTTTCATGAACATTATCTGCACTCAAACAAAATGTTGAGATGGCATTAAACGATACATATCATATATATTATATGATTCTCAGCTTCAACGATATGTTCAAACATTATGTTTCATATCTATTAAAGAGTCCTTGAAATATCTTTGATAGTATGTTACTTTATCGAATAATATTGAAAATATTCTTCTGTCATGTGAAACTAAAGAATAAGTATTTGAATAGAGGGCGTCAATCCTGAAGATATTCTTTTTCTTTCCTTGAAAGTCTTTTTTTTCATACACGCATACAATTAACAATAGAATAATTGTTCAAACAAGACTATTCAATTACTTCTCTTCTTGTATTCAATGTCAAAATGGATTTTATAAATATACTAAACGAAATTTGATCATCATCAATTTCAAAATCGAATATTCATTAATAAAAACTGTATCAATTTTTATTCTGTTTGTTTCTTTCTTTATTGACAAGCATTATTTTTTTTACGTATGTATAAATATGTTTATATATATCTGAGAGGAAATACAAAAAAAAGCAGGAGAAGAGTCGATAGAAAACAGTGAGTTATCGTATCACAATAGGCATCACAATGCAAAAATAATAGGTAATAAAGAAAAAGAAAAACAGACCATTAATATATATCTATAGATGTATACATATGTATAAATATGCTATTGTCGATAAGCGACACAAGCAAAACCCGAATCACATCTGGGTGTTAACATTTGACTTTCAATTGTCCATTCATCTTTATCACTATCATAAACTTCAACTGTATCAAGTAAAGATGTCCCATCATAACCACCGATAACAGCTATTCGACCACGAATAAATGCTGAACCACAATAACATCGTCGAACAGACATACTTGTCACGTTTGTCCATTGATTTGTTTGACTATCATA